CTCAACACCAGTTTGAGCGATGCAATCAAGTCTCCATTTCCAAAAGAAGGATGCACTTTATTCATGTAGAATCTACTTCCCTTTTTAATCTGTGGTATTTCCCATAGATGAATATAATACAAATACTATACCTAAATGAAGAAATAAAAGGAAGTAAGGCTGCATTTAAGATAAACCCAGAGACAAAGCTAATTTAAAAGTCTCACATCAGTCCCTCAAGGAACTACAAACTGGGCTCTTGGCTTCCCGAAGCCAAAGGAAAAGAAGGCAAAAGACTCATAGGCTCTTGTGTGTCCGCAAGGGAAAATTTAGGACCTGTAACATAAAATGGATCACAGAAATACAGTGCCTTCTAAATAGTATAAAGGAAGTGACTCCCGCATGGGGGAAACAGGCAATGCTGCAGAGACAAAGGAGAGGAATGCAAGGAGGAGCTGGCCACTGCCCAGGCTGAGGAAAGGGTGGACTAGGCCTCTGCGGGGAAACACTCACTTCCCAGATGTCCTTGCTAAGAGGTGAGGCAGAAATGCAATTCGGGAGGCAGGAAGAAGGCAGGGCCTGAGGGCCACAGGTGGCCTTAGGTTCTAGGGGCCTGAAAAGGGAACTGTCCCCATGCCCAGGGAGGCTTCTGACTTTTTTAGAGACAGGGTCTCACTGTGTATGTAGTTCAGGCTGGACCTGAACTCATGGTAATCCTCCTGCTTCAGCCTCCCCAGTGCTGGGTTACAGGTGTGCACCCAGGCTGGCTCCGCAGAGTCACTGACTAGGCTCTATTCACCCACCAGTCTGCCAGGGGCCTACACCACACAGGCTGAAGCCCTCCGGATGTTGTCCAAGGCAGACTGTGGGGAGCGGTCCCTGCACAGGAGCTGTGGTCACCCTGCCCACCCTGACCTCCCTGTGCTCTGCCGTGGGCCAGGCCAGCGGTGATGAGCAGCTAACAGCACTCGGGTCCTGACCGACTGCCCGGCTCAGGAATCCGCTGTTCACAAGAAGCGTTAGCTGTGGGAACCGGCTGCGTGTCAGCTCTTTCCCCACACTCAACTCCCGCACACAGCAGTCTGTGTTACAGGATTTGCTGATGGGGAAGAGTCTATAATCCAAGAAACCACGCTGCTCCATCACCCTAGGCCAGCAGAGCACCCTGGAACATTCTGATGTGACTCCTGTGGAGGTCATTTGGATTTAAGCAAAGCTTAAAGGGGACGATAGAGCTGAACCCTGCGGTCACCACACCCCGAGCTCCCCTTGCCGTTATCGTGCAGAGGGGCCCAGGACGGGCGCCCCAGTGCCTGACAGAGAGAGAGAGATGATGAAGAGCTCCAGCGGCCCATGCTGTGGCCTTGGATCACGCGGAGCCCAGAGCAGAAGCAGGGCCACCTCCCAGGACATGGCCGTGTTCGCCTGGCAGCCCAGCCCATGACCAGACAAACTCTGATCTTGTCACCTGACCTGCTTTTCCCTCCTGGCCAGAGGGCCTCAACAGTGTGGAAGAGCTTCTCAGAAGGCCACCGTCCTCACACTCAGAGAGCCCCACATTCAGCTGTTCTGTGTGATGCTGCTGTAGCTGGCACAGGACAGACAGTGCTCTCCACGCAATCACAATAGGAGACAGGGCTCATGCTGGCCTGGGCATTGACGGCTCCTGCAGGCCTGCACTGCAGTCTACAGCCTTGGACTGTGCTCCTGTGCCACCCAAGGCTCACAGGGGCTGCTTGGGGCTCCCTGCCTGTCCAGGAAGGTTCCAGAGGCTCCACTGAGACAGGAAGAGGCCCATGACACACAACTGGCCATGGGGACATCAAGCTGGCCAGCAGCAGATGGGCAGCAGCGTGGGCTACATCGAGGACTCTCACAGGGGACACCTCATTTCTGGAGTCTGCTTCGCCAGATGTGGAGCGCCAGCCCAGGACAGGCCTCTAGGCCACAATGCCTGGGCCGAAACACTACCTCCTCCTAGCTGGGTGGGCACAGGCAGCTCTTAACACCCTGGGCCTTGGTTCCTCATCAATAGATGAAGTAACATCGCACCCACCACACACTAGGGGAACTCTAGGAGTCGGACCCAGGAGGACACACCCCACACGGCCCAGAGCCGCCAGATGCCAAGTGGGCCTAGTCTTTCCTTACGGCATGGAGGAAACGTCTTGGAGACCACGGTGGTGCTACACAGCACTACAAAGTGCTGACTGCCTTGGATTACTCACTTTTAAATGGCTGACGTTTGCGTTGTGCATGAGTTTCACCTTAACACAAGTTAATGTCGTTACTCATTTAAAGTGACCCAAACTCATCTGTCATGGTAGAAGTTGGAAGAGCAGCCGCCTTTCGGGTGGGGCTGGGACTGGGGAAAGAGCACAGAGAGCCGGGAGGGTGTGTGGTGCGGGAACAGAACTCTGGGCCTCACGGGTGCCAGTCCAGAATTCTGCCACAGAGCTCCTTCACCTCAGTTAGGTGGCAGTTACATGGGGGAACACATGAGCAAAAAATTCTTTTTATAAGTATAAACAGTTCATTGCTGTTTATATAATATTAAAGTATAATATGACTTCTGTGTTAGAGTTTGAAGTCCCCTAGACCAGACCCTCTCCTTATCCTTTTTATAAAAGGGCTATTAATAGTTCTTCCTAAAAAAAAAAAAAAAAAAAAAAAAAA